CTAATATTGTCTGGAAGTCGCCGTGGCGTTGGCGGTTAGGTCGACCCAGCATTTAGTGGGTACCAGGTGCAGTCCTGGGAAGTAAAGGCGACCGGCGTGATGCTGACCACACAACGTGCCGATTGTCTATAGAAATATAGGTCTAGTCCTACATTCCCAAAACGCCTAAAAGTGTGGAAAAGGGGCCTTTATTTTAAGCTCACTTAATATTGTCCTTCCTACCTAAACATATAAGTGCTCCCTGACCAACACTAGACGATGTATAAAAAAGCTTGTGCCACCCAGTCCCCAACATTTTTTTTGGGTGCCTGCGCCCCTGGACAGGGAGCTGTGCTATCTACAATCAAGATCTTGTGTGACCCTCAAAATGGTACGCTTTTGAAATGATGACAGTCTCCTTCTGATTTCTGTGATAAGTTGTCTTCGGGCTCCCGCCTCTTTCAAAACTTCTTGGTTGCTCTTTTTTGGCTGTCCAAGGTATTCTAAGCATTCTTCTGTAAAACCACATCTCTGAGGCCTCAAGAAATTGTTTGGCCTGCCTACCGATTGTCCAGGATTCACATCCATATGCTAAAACTGGATGTATGTAGCAAGCGAGAATTCTTTTTCTAACTCCCAATGACAAGGATATATTGCACAAGATGTTCTTCATTTTATAAAATGCAGTTTTTGCCTGTCTTATTCTGTTTCTTATCTTAGTTATGCATCTTCCATCTGATGTTATCCATGTGCCCAGATACTTAAATTTATGTACTTGTCCTAAAATAACACCATCGACTTTTATTACACATTTAGGAATAATTCGTTTCTTTGATACCACCATTACTTCTGTCTTCCCTTTATTCAAACTGAGGCCCATTCTTCCACTTTCTAACACCACAATGGCTATCATTTCCTGTAGTTCTTTCTGACTTATTGCTATCAAGACTGTGTCATCGGCATAACGTAAATTGTTTAAATTGTGCCCACCAACCACAATTCCGGGCATATCAATTAAACATCTCATTATATATTCATTATATATTCACTGTATATTGAAAACAAATCAGGTGACAGCACACATCCTTGTCGTACGCCACTCTTTATGCTTTGAAATGTACCTAAACAGTTGTTAATTCTTATAGCTGCTGTTTGCTGCCAATAAATATTCTTTATTATTCGTAGATCTTTCCCATCAATGTTTAATTTTTCTGACATTTTGATTACTTCTTCATGCTCCACACAGTGAAATGCTTTTGAATAGTCTATGAAGCACAAGTGCAAATCATTCTTTACTTCTATAGCTCTTTCTGACATTGTCCTTAGGATGCATATGGCATTGTTTGTACCTTTTCCTTCTACAAATCCACATTGTTCATCGCTGATTTCTGGTTTAATTTGTTTCTAATTCTTCTGATAATTATTCTCAGTAAAATATTAGTCATGTGACTGATAAGACTTATTGTGCGACAGTCTTCACATTTTAAAGTGCCTGGTTTCTTTGGCAGAGCTATAAATATGGATTTTAAAAGGTCATTTGGAATATATCCCACTATTATAAATATCATTTAAAAGTTTAGCTATTATTTTAATTCCAAAATCTCCCAGTGCTTAGATTTCTTCCAGTGAGATGTTGTCTGGCCCGGGTGCTTTGCCTTTCTTCATATGATGTATTGCATCAACTTCTGTAGTCATTATTGGTGGACCATCATTGTTGGTCTGCAGTTCTACATCTGGTCTATTATCATCATACAATTCCCAAATATACTCTGTCCATCTGTTAATTATATTACTATGTTCAATTAATAAGTAACCATCTTTTGATTTCAAACATTCAGTGCTGTTACGTGTCATCTTTCCTGTTAACATATTGCTGCTGTTCACTTTAAACATCAGTTCTAATGCTACAATACTTGTAATTGAAAAACTGCTAATCTACTCTTTGTTCAATTTTCCGTTACACTGCTTTTTTTTTTTAAGATTCCTATAGCGTGATCCGCAGCATCTGTTGCATGAAGGATTTGTGGCATTTTAATCTCTATGTACAATAGTTTTCCATTAGCTGTGTTGCTGTTTTTAGGTGTGTTTGATGAGCTTTTTTTTCTTAACCTGTCTTCTTCTTCTTCTTCTTCTTCTTCTTCTTCTTCTTCTTCTTCTTCTTCTTCTTCTTCTTCATCTTCCTCTTCTTCTTCTTCTTCTTCTTCTTCTTCTTCTTCTTCTTCTTCTTCTTCTTCTTCTTCTTCTTCTTCTTCTTCTTCTTCTTCTTCTTCTACAACAACAGCAAATACTTCTACTACTACTACTACTACTACTACTACTACTACTACTACTACTACTACTACTACATTTCCTCTTTTACCGCCTGAAGTATCGAGGGAAACGTTCTACTTCTTGATCATCTGGCCACTTCAACCATAGGTATGTTGTACTTGATCTACCTCTTGCTCTACATCCTCCTCCCCTTTTGGTGTATGCCTTGTGTGTCGCAATGCTAACTCTTTAAGTGGGAAAACCATCAGAT